CTGGGCTCCCTGTGTGCCCTGTTGGGCTCCCTCCATGCTGCCTTGGGCTCTCTCTGTGCCCCTCTGGGCTCATGCCATGCTGGGCTCCCTGTGTGCCCTGTTGGGCTCCCTCCATGCTGCCTTGGGCTCTCTCTGTGCCCCTCTGGGCTCATGCCATGCTGGGCTCCCTGTGTGCCCTGTTGGGCTCCCTCCATGCTGCCTTGGGCTCTCTCTGTGCCCCTCTGGGCTCGTGCCACGTTGGAACCAAAGTGCTCTGTCACCAAGCTGGGCAGCCCCTGCCTCCTCCCTCACCCAGAAAGAAGGTGCTGTGGTCTGACAAGGGAAAAGCAGGTCCAGGAACAGTCAGGGTTAAGGCTCAGTTCACAGGAACCATCTCTGCACCATGGAGCTCTGGCTGGGAGCTACTTGCCTAAGATAAGCTGGCATGGAGGGAAAGGCTACTTTCAGCCCTAGATTGGCAGCCTGAACCCAGCCTAGGCTGATAGTCACCATCTAAGTACCCCTGGACCAGTGTTTTTATGGCCAATGTGACAGCTCATGGATTTTCCGTGCTGGAAGATGTTTGCATTGCTGAGAGCTGGTGATTTCGTAGTGGGCAGTGAAAAAGGCAGGCTCCAAATGACAGAGGGAGACTCACTTCTCACAGTACAGGGTGGTTTTTTCTCTCTCCCTTTCCAAGACTTTTTTTTCTCCAGTGATGAGGGCACAGTTGCAACACCAGAAGGTCTCCACAGCACTTTAAACTATAACAGGAGAAAGGGCAAAGTGTGTTGCAGCTGGGCCCCCCAGCCCGGCTGTTTGCACTGTCAAGCATTAGGCAGGTAAGTTAAATTTCCAGCTGTACAGATTAAGCTTTTCTGAGAGGGCTCCAAATGCACATTGCACCTGAGAGCTGCTCATGCCCAGTCAGGAGCTGTGGCAGCAATCAGAAATAAAATCACCTAAAATGCAAAGCTTTTGGGGATGTCAAAAGTTCTCAAGGATGTCAAACTTCACAGTGTTTTCTTCAGAGCTGAGCTGGAAGGAACTTCGTGTTTATATCTGCATATATCATTAGGAATGTGCCAAAATGAATCCAGTCCCACACGTTCACTCAGGTCTGGATCCAGATGAACTATCCTGGGAAGCCATCTAGTGGTACACATCGGAATTGAGAAAAAAAATGACGAATGTAAAGACTTTCTCCAACCTTTATGTCTGTAGTTCTAAAAAACTACCTCAAAGGGAGTGTGAGTCTAAGCTTCTATACAAGTTATATTACACAACCAACAGAGGTGAGTTTGGAAGCTGAATCCCTTTGAAAATAAACTGAGTTTTATGCTTTGGAATAAAACAGGTATTTTTGGGAACAGGCATTGTTCAAAGTGGCCGAGTGGGAACAAAGTGTTCAGGGGTTGGTTGTTTGCAGAAAGAAGAGCAGCCCGAGTTTCTGGTACCCCCCCATGTCCAAGAGCTTTATCACACAAAGGTTTTTTAACACAAAATATGAATAATGTCTGAATCCTTGAATTGCAGCTCTGTTAAGTTACGCAAACATTTTAAGGAAAAAAAAAAGGAAATAAAATTGAGAGAGAGACTTGCAGAGTTCTTACCTTTAACTGCCAGGTTACCTCATGTGAAATAAGCCATCTGACTGTCACTGCATCCCGACAAAGTGTCAGGAGAGAGGCTTTTGGAGAAAGAAGATGAAGCCTTCTAACTGGAAACTCCAAGTCTGTGCATCCTGCCAGAGTCAGTGAGTATTCCCTAACTGAGCTGCCTCTGAAATAACCGGGGCTCAGAGGATTTCCATGGCCCTTGGCAGCATTTAGCACCTCGGTGCGTTTTTACAGTAATACCTTTAGAAATGGAGCTTAGGGAGGCACCTGGCATTACAACTTTCCTCTCAGTCCAAAAACTCTGAAGGGGAGAGAGAAATTACCCAGAGAGGCCAGTGTCTGGTTTAAACAGGAATGACTCAGTGTCTGGACTGGGAACAAATATAACAACTTTCTGGTGCGGAAATAAGGAGCAGTGTTGAAAATGAAAGGATATGAACTCCATCAAAGTACATTTGATTTTTTTGATTCCTGAGTTCAGTCTCTTTATGCATAAAGAGACCACAGACACATTTAAAGTAGAAAACTCAGCAATATTACACAGTTAACCTGTTTGGATTTAAAAGAAAATTCATTATTAATGTAAAACATTTGCAGTTCCTTTGAAGCCAGTGGGAGCAGAATAATCTTGTGAATATTGATTTAATGTATCTGTTTCCAGCTTGAATAATAATAATCTAAATATGTGTTGGAAGTGGGTTTTTTATTATTCATTATGACTTTGACCCATGTACAAAGTTGCTACCAAATTTGGAGTGGGAGTAAAAAGATACTTGTCTGTTTAAATTTCTGGGTTTGTACTTGTACAGCTTTTGGACTGTAGTTAGTGTAGATTTACTCATACTCTCACTGAGAGTCACAGAATCTAACTTTTTCTGACTTACCCTGTCTTGAAGGAAAAAACAGCAATGAAAAAGCAACATTTACCTCCCAAACAAGTTGATACTCTCTCTATGCACACCTTCATGTTGCACCTCTATTTGTTGGCAGAGCTCTGACTCTGCTCACAGAGCCTTTGCAGCCAAGTTCCTGCCAGCCTTGGAAGGCTGTTCGTGCAAATGAAGTCGCTAAACTGCGAGAACTTTTGAAAGGAAAAAGAGCTGGAAATTAAAACCACACTCAAGGCATGTCTGAAAGCCATTTGGGCTAACAGTTCTGTGTTTTCAACTTAAGAAAACCCACCCAAATATATACAGTACATTGGTGAAGAATGTGAAAACCTGGGAGCACAGAGGAGCAGTTACACAATGGAAAGTCTGTGTGACTGTGGTGTCAAGTAATACCAGTTTTTTACATCAATGCAAGGTTCTTGATCGTGGACAATCTATCACGATCACAGAATAAACCTAAACCCCCTTTTAAAAAGGAAAACCTTTTGCCAAGCTGATCTGTTTTGTGTTAGATGAAGTCCTGCTGTCAGATTTGGATAAATCAAGAGCTAAATTTTTGTGCTTCTTGATTTCATTCCTCCCTCGAGTTCACATTTTCCATTTGAAACGTGTCCCAGTGGTTCTGTGATTTCACACTGTCCTTCTCTATGCTCTTAAATATTAAGAGTCTGATACTGTTGCCTTGTAAGTGGAGTTTTGCCACAGACTAAGCTGAAAGGCCCCAGGTTTCTGGTTAACTTCCAGCCCTGACAGCAAAGCCCCTGCGTTCAGTCTTGTGTGAAAAGCTGCGTTTGGATGTTTTGCTGCTTTCCCAGAGTCTCACACCGAGCAGTGTCATGAACAAAGATGACTGAGTAATTCTAAATTCTGGATGACATCCTTTTTTTAGATTCAGGATGTGTAAATATAATTGTCTCTATAAGCAGAAGTGTTCAGAGTGCACGTAGGTGCTGTCTGGAGTTCGAAGGGATGCAGCATCACGGATCTGGTGCTTGTTTCACTTGCTGGTTGCTTTAGTACATTAGTTTGTCATTTGTACTAAGTGCCCTTCTTTTTCCTCACCTACCTCTAATTGGAAGCCAAATCTGTCTCAATCTGTTAGGCTGCTTCTTTGTATTGGAAGAGAGAACAGTGAAAAAATGTGAGCAGGAATGGAGTGACTGCATTTGTTAAACTGATGGACTCACCTTCTCTTCCTTGCATTTACCTCACTTTTATACCAGTCAATATTTACCCATCCCCTCTGACTAATTCCTCAGTCCTGGCAAAACTTCTGAGACACACAAGGAACTGGGGAGGCACAAGAATTATGTCCATAAGGCCCTCAAAATTAGAGAAAAATCCTGAAATCCTCCTAAACCAATGTGACATGGATTTTGACAAAAACTGAACAGCAGGCTAATGCCTTGTAACAGGTTTGCACTGGAAACTTTTAAATGAGCTTAGGAAAGAAATCTCAGGATGAAATGTTCCCTGAATTCTTTCTAACAATGTCTTTTTAAAACAATTCCTTACATGCAGCTGTAATTTCTTTTCAGAGCCAGTGTCTCACTAGTACATACCGAGGTGAAATAATTCAGGGCCTCTGACTGTCCTAAGGCTCTTCAAACTTGACAGTTCTACAAAGGAAGCCAAAAAGAGGAGCAGTGTTAGGAAGAGAATGCTGCTGTCAAAGGCAAACATTTTTGGCTGGGAGGCTGGGATGGATCAGGTGTATGAATTGATGTGGAAAAATAAGATTGCATTAAATTCAATAACCCCCAACCTAGATATGCCTTCTCAGAATATATAAGTAGCCTTAAATTTTGCTTTAATTTATGTTGGGTTTTTTTTTTCTTTTTTTCTTTTTGTTTTGGTTTTGTTTGGAGTTTTTTAAAATCATTCCAGTTGATGTACTCTCAAAGGTTGGGATGGAATAGGAAGTTGGGAGGGGCTCAGTGAAGTGTCCTGCACCTCGCAGTGATGGAAGAGATCAGTTGTTCCCCAGCTTGGTTGAATGATTTGAGTCAGTATTTCAAAGATGACTGTTGTGATTACAAGGTCCAGGCCTGCTGAGTTAAGCTGAGAGTTCCATGTTAGAACTTAAATGGATTTCTTGGTCTTCCTGCCTTAACAGCTTCTTGCTCTCTGTCTCTTTTAATTTTAAACCCCATAATTCCATCAGCTGTAGTTGCTGACCTCCACTGATGTTGAGGATCACACCTCTTCTCTTAAGAATCCAGT